AAGAACACGACGAAAAGTGGCGGTCTCCATCGGTAAGCGTTCGAATAATCAAACATATTCCACACCCTGGAGATGAGTGGGCGTGGTTGTGTACTTCGGTTGAACGCTGCGCTGCGATGCGTTGGCTGCTGCGCTTTTAGTGGAATATTAACGTTCTGGAACAAGTGCCCTAGTGTTCATGTCCAGTACAGAATGACAGTTGTCTTGTCCCAAATGGAAATACTCCACGAAAAATGCATCATACGCCAAATTCAAATTAAATACACAGACACGCCTCTTTCATCTTTGGGACACGGGGTGCATATATTGCTAAACTAGAATAAGTGACGTGATTGTGTTCTTGGACATAAGTGCAGTTTCTTGCGTGTGCTAACATTGTTGTGCCAGTCGCCATCCGTGCAGTTGAGGAGCTTCTGAATAATCCTTGGTGGTGATCACCAAAAGACTGGCTCAGCCGGACAGACCCTCCAACGTGATCGTTAGTATCCAACAGAGTGCCAACAAATAAGTGGCACACGAACCGTTTTCAACAGCTCCTTCAACGACCTCCACGACCTCCACTACTTCATCCATATCACCATAGATGCTTTCTGCGTAGATTGATTGACGTCTACTGGGGCGTCGTGCTACCGTTGCTTTTCGTGGTTCGAAAAGTACTGGCATAGTTGAAGTAGAGCTATTCAGCGAATTGAAGGAATCAACTCGAATAGGTTGACCACTACGGTTGCCTCGTGGAAGCGTTGAGGAGAGACGAAGAGACGTTTCTACGGCTATTGAGGCTCCACGAGGGAGTGAATTGTATTCATTGTATTCTGTAAGAGTATTCTTCTAATAAAAGCGAAAGCATTGTCATAAGTAAAGCAAGGGATTATATAGATCAAAAGATATGCTTATGCAATAACTCAAACCGTATATACATCGGAAAGCGGAACAAAAAGAAGCAACGAAGCACATGCTCGCAATCACCATGCGCATCTACTGATCATTCTTAAGCGTGAAGACGCGAGCGGTCGCGGCGCGTCGCAATCGTTCGATCGATCAACGACCGCACCGCGTCGCGCCCACATGCGTTTCACACTGGTAGACACTACTTCAAAAAAAGGGCTATAACTTCTTGTAACACTGCAAAAACTTACGTCCAGCGCTTGTACGAATAGCCGAGTTTTGTTGCGCACCATCGTACGCATCAAAGGCCGATACTCGTGAAGTCGGACGGGAGTCGTCGCGAATGCTGCGACGCATTGGCACCGGAGGTAGTTCGTCACTGGATCGTGAACCAGCGTCGTAACGTCGTAATGGTGGCAGGTGTTGGCCTCCTGCTTCTGTAAGAGAACTAACAATGCAACAAAACCGCAAGCATATAATCAGCAACGCCGCCAGGAAGAAGACAGTGGCCGCGATGCTGAGGGTGGCCGATTGTTGCCACATCATTGATCTGTATGGCAGTGCCAGAGGGCTTGTTGGCCACACCCCACACCTTACAGCCTCAACCAATGACACTGCGACAACCGCTGCCTGATCGTGCCCGCGGCCTCTGAGAAGAAAACTCAAATCCTCAACAAAAACCTCTGCACCCTGGATCGCCGGATGCGCTAAACCAAGAAACGACGTCATCGACGCGCCCCTCTCCGCCCTTTCCCGCCTTCCCTGCCAGTACAGAAAGCAGGAGGAGAGGCCGACTGTCATTAGTCATTGTTAGTCCCAACCATTGGACAGTCCAAAGGTGTCTTGGACTAGACAATCCAAAAAAAAAAAAAAAAAAAAAAAAAAAAAAAAAAAAAAAACCCCAACCATGCGGAAGCTCAGTCACATCAATAGCTTCAAATTTACTTACCATGATAGGCGTATGACTTCAGTTGGTTGCTAGGGGCGAGATCAGCATGGAACTTCACTTTGGCCACCCATTCAAGCATTTGTCGCTCATCGCTGCAGGCGAAAATGTACTCTGCACCATCTTGGGTTGCCAGCCTAAACAACATGAGCTCGATCCACCGGTTTCGCAGTACGCATGGAAGCGCGTTCATACTTTGCGATTTGATCGCTCGAGCGATCCAAGCGATCTGAACGTGAAGCATGAGCGGGCTCTTATTGCAACTTCATAATGTTGCAAAAGTCACTGTAGAGAAAACTCAACAAATGCAGTTGGAGGAGGGCACGCTGTGGCGAGTCCCGACTATGCCACGTCATGTCTGCTCGTCTGCACCCTCTCATCTAGTATTGCTCTAGCATATTTCGTGCAGGAAACTGACTGATTGAAAAAAGAAGGTGGCGTGAAGGGTCACACTATCTTTGTGAGAGAGCACACAAAGCAAACATGACGTGGCATATTCGCGCCGCCACGTGACTTCCCTCCCGACTGTCTTTGCCCGGGATACCTCACGCAAAAAAAATTAATATTCACCGGAAAGCATGCTTTCTCTTGACGTATTCTGGGAACGGTTCACATCGTGCACCGTAAATGTAGACAGGGGGTGCAGCGGCAATGTTCTCGTAGAACGACGATTCATCCTGAAGAGCGATTAACATTTTCATAGGTTATGACGGGATCGACACATGGGGAGTTTTCGAGCGCAGTTCGGCGACGAGGGAGGGGGGGGGGCATTTTGCACTTTCGCTGCTTCACTAGTTCCGGTTTACAGTCTCACTCTGGTGAAACCTGTGAGCTCCTGTGAAGCTGGAGCAAACTTTGGCAGGTATCACTTCGTGGCTCCACAAGAACTCATAGGTTTCCACTTGGTTGCTCTATATCTCGATGGGAAGTAGCAGAAATGAAAAATGCCCCCCCCCTCTATCGCCAAACTGCGCCTTTTCGATACTGACCTTGAAGAAGCACATCAATTGTCCACACAAAATGGTATAGTAATTCTTCCATGATCGTATCGTTGCCCTCTTACTTCCACTTTGAAGGTCCTGCTTCCGGTCAACAAAACTGTAAAATGGCATTATGCAGAGACTTGTACCGGATATGAAAAGATGAACACCAACCCTCTCATATCGATAGCACCCAGGTCTTCCCAACGGCTAGTGCTATTTCTGGAGACAGAATGGCCGCGTCTGGTATTGAACGATGGCGTCTTCCTCATATCCACGTCAACAGCCG